TTGGTGTCTAAAACTGTACGGAACACACTTGTATTAAAATGTTTATATTTAATGCAATGGATGATGTTGTTTTTCTTATTTACAATTACTGTGTTGTGATACTACACATGACGTCCTCCACCCCAAAATGTTTCCGCCATTCTTGGTTTTGGGGTGTGACAATTTCTAACTTCATCTCTTGTGACATTAGATAGAGCCGCAACAATTCTTTGAGATATGATTTCTTCAATTTGTACTGTACTTATTGAGGGGTTTATGTCTGGTGGTGGTTTCGGTTGTTGTTGTGGTGTTGATGGTCGGTTAGGGGTTAGTCGATTACTCCTTCTAGGCATTTTGTTTTAGTTCCTATTATAAATAATAAGAATTTTATGAGTTTTGTTAGTAATTTAATACATGAATACTTAAATACTTAAATTATTCTTCAAAGTGTAAAACATAATGGATAACATAATGATTATTGTAATATATGCTTCATATTATTATTGGTGGTCACATCAGTTTATTTAGGCTTACAGGAGAAAAGTTTCTATAAACATTACAAAATTTGCAAGGTTTTCTACATCCTTGCTATAAACTTTTAGTCTTCTTTCCTTAACTAGTCTGATTTTCTATATTTACACAACCACTAGTTTTAGCTTATCTACCAGAAACCCAAGTGATGACCTAGCACATCAGTGATAGTAACCACTTGCTCCTCAAGTGCTTGAGTTCTCTGCTCAAGACCTCCTGTGCGCTCCTCGTTTCTCGTGGTTTGATTTTATACCTCTAACTCTGCAATCCTTGCATCGTGAGTAATCATATCGTTATAAGCGAAATTTATACGATGATGGACATCCATCACTGATTCCTGATCTCGCGTTATTTGTCCTTTTAGACTTCGTACTCTTCTAGAGAGATGAGTAGCCATTCCTTCAACAATTTCCATCTTATCTTCAATTTTCACACTTTTCTCAAACAATTGAGATAAGGCATTCACTTCAGAAGAATGTGGGGGATGTGGTCGAGATGATTGACCAGTCTCATACATCTTAGCAGCTCTTTCTTCTGCCACCCACCTATCGACGGTTTGGGCTATCCGTGCAGGTTCATCTTGAACTCTATGACTTCCTGAAGATGTCGCCTTCTGATTCTTCTTAATCTTTTTTCTATATTGGTATGGATTTACGTGCTATGCGTTTCATCTTTGTTCCTCGTGGAACTTGACGATAAAGAGTGTTCATTGGTGGTAAAGATGATGCTACTAATTCTGTCTCGTCCATTGGTTCGCTCTCTTCCATTGGTTCACTCTCTTCCCATTCATTGGAAGGTAAAGGTGCTCCATCGTCAGAAGGTATTGGATGAAAGGTGGTTGGATTTATAGGGTTGTAAGGATCGCCTACCATCGTGGGGAATGAAACTTCCTCTTCTTCATCCGTATCCTCGATGATTATCCATTCTCGTGAATGTGCCATGTCAAATTCCTATACATTTTGGATTATCAAGAGTTTAGTCTATCAAATATTTCTAACAAATTAAATATTCCATATGATCTGATGATAATAAAATGTAGTTGCACACCTACACCTAGTTGTGATAGGATCTGTGCACATATAAACTGTAGTTGGAATATTTGATCTAAATCCTTGAGATCAAAAACATTCCGGGTATTAAGGTGTATTCACTTCGCGGGTCTGAGTCTTTATATATGACTCTATATTCTTATTTATTGTATTCACGCTTTAATTATTGTTTGTTACTTTAGTAGAATAATTAATAATACTTTTATCATAGGCTAAGGGATATACCTAAACCTAATAGAGTAAGCCCTAAATTATAGACGTGCTTTCCTAAGAAAGTACTAGTTCACTATAGTTAATAACTCTGATACCAAATCTGTCACACCCCGACTGTCGGCGGAAACACCGGGTGGTGTAACGTCATTCTTCGTATCACAGTTATATAACATACATTGAATAGTACTAAAGAAAATACATACCTTTATTAATAATTAAAAGTTACATAATTGTTTTTCTAGAACCTATTACATAATATCCGACTATGGCATATTTCTTAATGAACAGAAAGATAATAGTAAAACTTCTCCTATTCGAATACATACCAACTTTTCAAGATCCTGAAAACACATACATTTCAAAATATGTCAACATAAAGTTGGTGAGTCCACAGGTTTTGACTCTATATAAAAATAACACATTTTCCAAGTTCAAAAGTATAGTTTTGAAAGTATCATTTTGTCTCTTCAACATTTAGTGTATATATATATATATATATATATATATATATATATATATATATATATATATATATATATATATATATATATATATATATATATATATATATATATATATATATATATATATATATATATATATATATATATATATATATATGGGAAAAGTGAATATACCCTTAAGGGTATATAAGCTTACGTACCCAAACTCACCATACTACATCATTTTGTATCATATAATACATTATAATTGTCCAATGTTCTTATAATTTAACTTCTAAATTGATTAATTCCATTTATAAATTACACATTTATCTTCGTCTTACTTAATTTTTATTTTCAACTACAATAAATATAACCTAATAGGTGTTCGACAAAAAGATGTTACATAAGAGAAAGATAATAGTGAAATTTCGAAAATCTTGAAATTAAATAAAGTTAGGGGTTGAAGTTTAAAAATATTATAATGAATCTATCAAACAAAACGGCGTATTATGGTGTGTTTGAGTACCTAAGCTTATATACCCTTAAGGGTATATTCACTTTTCCCTATATATATATATATATATATATATATATATATATATATATATATATATATATATATATATATAATATTCTACTTATCAAATAAGTGTTATACCTAAACGTTCGTTGAACGTAGAGTATAAGTAGGGGGAAACTTATACATAACATTAATACTTGTATACGACAAAGTATAATGTTTCTAACAAATTGCTACCATGAGCCAGTAACCGCTGCTACGACACAATACCTCTGATAAAAAAACACTCATGATTTCCATGAGAAACAATACACTCATAATTTATATGAGAAACAACACTGAACACTTCATCGACGTCGGAACAATAACAAGTAAAAGGTAGTTCATCACTTGTTTATGGTTGATTGTAGCTAACAATCATAAGTGGGGTTGTCAACCAGTATACTAATTATAGATGACTTCCTTGCTCACACGGGATTAACGGTTACAGTTCAAAGCATTTCCGCTAAGATCCCCAATCTTACTTGATGAATATAATTACTCATGTAGACTTCGACGGCTTCTTATAACCCTAACAACAAAAGCATTTTCGTGTCTAAAACCCTAAGTTACTACACTTTGCTTTTAAACATTACTCCTAATTTCATACAATTTAGGTAGTATAACAGCTATAACTTGAAGTAAAACCAGGTTTTATCTTGACACAAAACCAATAATAACAACATATAGCATAACAAGTTTTATATTGATATAAAACCAACACTAACAGCGTACATACTTTTTAACATATAGAACTTCCGAATATAACTTTGTAACTATATCGCACACAACATATATATAGAAACCCAAGTATAACTCAAGATCTACATTAGTATAATAACATACTAACAAGTTGATAAAAACTGTATATTTTCAAAATATTATATTTAAAATAAATATATCCCGATTAATATAACTATCTATATCGACACGGATATACTATCGTATAGATATAATATTAACATATGTATAATATTTAGCATGCGTTTTCCCCCGAAATATTAGAAAGTGGGGCCGTGAAACTCACCCTAGTAGCGTGATTTTATGTAATCTAAGCAGAAACAGTCAGCAATACGAGGTCGTCGAGGCTCGGGATGCAAGATGGCTTCAGCAAGGGAGAGAGGAGAAAGGGAAATTGTGTAAGGAATAGTTGAGGTCGGACCTGCTATTTATAGTAAAGATTTTGGTTTCTCACGTCGTGAGTTTTATAAAACTCACGTCGTGAGTCTTGCATGCTCATCTCGTAGACTTGCCATTTGCGTCCCTAGCTTCGGAGGGTGGCCATGTGACTCCTCACGTCGTGAGTTATCCTTGCTCACATCGTGAGTTTGGATCTTATCCCTTCGTAGCCTCGTCACACACCTTCTAGATTCCGAGATGTGGCAAAATGACACCTCACCTCGTGAATAAAACCTTGTTCACATCGTGAGTTCAGTCAGATTAGGGTTTCTGATAGTTGAATCTTCGGAAGGTCGTAACTTTCGCATACGAACTCCATTTTTGACGTTCTTTATATCCACGTGTAGGTATTTACGAGTACTACAACTCTATTTTAGACTCCAATGGCTAATTCTAGGTCTATTTTAAATTCATATTATTATAGAGATATATAGTGTTCGGTTTATCACAACTTCCTTATGCGAAGTCAGATTCAGACATTCTCTATATCTTTGGAAACGTATGGACATATACTTTGAGTTGTATTACAAAAAAAGTTTGTATTTGTATTAGAATTTATCATGAACCACATAGTACGTTTATCACATTACTAGTTTACAAAATTATAGGATTGGTATAATCACATGTGATTGTCTATTGACTTATTTCGACTGGTGTTACAATTTTCTAATATTGAAACATGTGGGCATCGACTCTTTGTAACGTTTAAGACCATTTCCAATCTTCTATGCTTTAAAATGATTTTCTCTTCATTATGTGGAAACCCCACACTTATTCAAAAACGTATCATTCAATTATGATCTTAAAAAATCGCACGACTTATTTATATTAAGCTCCTTCACTACTTCACTTTCGTTCAAAACTACAAAATAAGATCAAGAACTAGAGAAACACATGATCATTTGGTTAGGTTAAAATAAAAATAAGGCGAAAAATAAAACTAAAAAAATCAAGAAGAAAAGAAAATTCAAACTCTAAAGACATCGGGTTGCCTCCTAAGAAACGCTTCTTTCTGAAGAGTCATGAGTCGGACTCCTTCCCACTTTACGTTGCATTAAGTGGAAGTGTAGCCTCCCTTTTATCCATCATCTTGAGCCTTGATCTTTTGTAAGCAACACATCTATTGAATGCCTTTCTTGAGCTTTCTTGCATAGTTTGGTTGATATCTTTTTTGTGCTTTCGCTTGGGTTCTTTCCACATTCCCATGTCTTTAGCTTTTGTCTTGTCTCTTTCTGGGTTTTTCTTGTCAAAATAAGGCCCATCATATTCTTCTTCTTTTTCTTTAACTTTCTTTGTGACTTGATCTGGTGTCCTTGTAAAATCAAACACCTCAAAAATCATTGGCGTTGACATTGGAGGTTTCAAATGTGTTTCTTCTTTTTCCAATTGTTCTTCAAGTTCTTTATGCTCCATGAACATTGTGGTTCCTTGATTCCCTAGATTTTCCTTGGTACGTGATAGGAAAGGAAGAGGTGATCGATATGGATCAACAATAGAAAAATCATTATGTGACACTATTGCATCCACATCGTGGTGACTGGGCAGCATCACGATACTCTTATTCTTCTTTCTTTTTTACTTGGAGTGACTGATTAGATTCCTCTTCAAGGTCCATCATATACACTGATTTATCTTCTTCTTCTATATCAATGACCATGACTTGAGCCATAGTGTTTGACTCGACTTTTCTTGAAGGTAGATCCCATAGCTTTTCTAGCACACGTTTTTTTTTTTTTTTTTTTTTTTTTTTAAATTCCCAACTTGTGTGTAGATGCTGAAAATAGATGTTTGTTGATATCTAAGTATTGCATTAGCTGCATCATGTATTTTTTCGCTAGCTTCCATGAATTTGAATAGCATTGACTCGAGAGCATGTATTTTCTCGAGTTGGACTCGTTCTAGTTGGTAGAGATTATGCTCTAGTTGTTGATATTTTTCCGTGTCTTGAGCTCTCTTGTATTCCAATTCATAATCCCTTCTAATCAGTCATTCAAAGTAAAAAAAGAAAGAAGAAGAAGAGTATCGTGATGCTGCCCAATCACTACGACGTGGATGCAATAGTTCCACATGATATTTTGTCGTGTCTTGAGCTCTCTTATAATACTACTAAGCATCGTATTGCGACTCCCCTTCTAATTGTTGAAATTTTTGTATGCTTTTTATAAGCTTCGCCACTTTTGAAGGAGGGGTAAACTTGTAACACCCATATTTTCATGCCAAATTAAAACTTTTTCAACACACTTAAAACCATTTAATCATTACATAATTTGTTTTGAAAATAATAATTATCAAAGTATCCCAGTTTCCAATCGTAAAAACATAGCAGTAGGAGGAGCGGTACGATCATGCCTTCGCCTTTCCTCGATCACCAGAAGTACCTGAAACTACAAACTAAAACTGTAAGCCTGAGAGCTTAGCGAGCTACCCCCAAAATACCATCCTTACACATCCATAATCATATCATATCAACAAATACAAAACAATATGCTTAATGAGCCTTCAGCTTGACTGGACAGCCTCGCAGGGCCTACAACCTATCTGGCCCGCTCCCGAGCCTTCGACATGACTGGAATGCCTCGCAGGGCCTACAGCCTATGCGGACCGCTCGCCGGGTATGTTGGCCTACAACACAAAGCAGGACCGTCTCAACCCAACCCCTAATCAAACAAACATGTACACATAAATATCATATGCTACCTCATATCATATAATATTCAAATCGATCTAACATATCACTAATCATAGCAACATCCCAATAACCGGGATACAGACCTAAACAAATCACTAAGCATAAGCATATCACCATCCTAACTACCGTGATGTACTAAATAACATATCATGCCATAATCAGATAAAAATCCATAAAGGGTTGGCATTGGTGCCTTAGACCCTATTGATATAGTAAGGAGAACTCACCTCGCGACTGTCGACTCATAAGATAAGCTCAAACTCTCGGATCACCGTCACAAACTCCACCACCTATATTCATTGTAAAACCATACTTGTAAATTTCCAACCTCCCAAAACATCGCCAGAAGTCAACTGGCCAACCCTTGGTCAAAGTCAAAGTCAATTGCCAAGGTCAACAGTCCGTGTTGACCTCAACTTGTCGAGTACCCTTAGCTACTCGTGGAGTTCCTTGCATAACTCACTAACTCGCCGAGTCACTAAAGTGACTCATCGAGTTCCTAAGGTTTGCGCCCGTAAACTCCTTGGCCGACTCGTCGAGTTTGCCTTGCAACTCACCAAGTTCATATAAGTCTAAAGGTTGGGAAAACCCTAGCCGACTCGCCGAGTCACTCATCTGACTCGCCGAGCTTGCGATAATCTTCATCGGACTCGCCGAGTTAACCATGCAACTCGTCGAGTCCCTTCACTACTTCATCCATACAGATGCTTTTTAAGCCATGCAAAGGCTCCATATTGTATATCCAGATTCCCAAGGTATGCTTATCACGTAAAGTTGCAAACGTTACGTGCATGCAAAGCTCTAAAGTCTTAGAATGAAAAAACTAAGCTTGCAAAGAAGTCTTACTCTTGAGGGGAGGTTCATACTTGCAAAAGCTGACAACTTTATGGATATAGAGACCCAAGAGAGTTCATATTTGAAGTTGTAACTTCAGATCTTAGCTCAACACACAAGAAAAGCGTCCTAAAATCCACCCAAAAGAGATCTAGAATGAAATAAGGCCAAGCTAACAACTTAATACCTTCCAAAGGATGCTAACTGAGGTAGATCTCTGATTCCCATGTGTTCCTTTCTTCTATTTTCTGGTTCCCCAAACTTTTCTCACCAAAATCCTTCTTCGAAGCTTAAGACACACAAATGGAGCACACTCACACGAGGTAGGGCTATAGCGTATCAAGAGGCTGTGAAGGGGAGGTTGGGGAGGCCAATGATCCTTTAAATAGGGTGCAAAACCTCAGAAATTAGGGTTTAATCCTCCAGCTCCTACTCGTCGAGTCACTTCTTGGACTCAGTGAGTAGGTCACTTAAACACGTGGACCAATCCGCTGCTACTCGACGAGTCGGGAAACCAACTCGTTGAGTAGACCTTTAAATCAAGAAAATTCTTATATCAAAAATCAATAACTGGGAATCGGGGCTTTACAATTCTCCCCCACTTGAACTAGACTTCATCCTCGAAGTCTGTTGTGGTGAACAACTCCAGATAGTGTTCCCGCATCTCGGCCTCCGGCTCCGACGTCCACTCAGATCCCTTCCGATGCTCCCACTGTACCTTTACCAAAGGTATCTCCTTGTTCTGCAAAACTTTCATCTTCCTCTCCAGTATGGCCATAGGCCTCTCCATGTAATTCAGGCGCTCATTGACCTGAATATCATCCAACGACACCACTGCCTCTTAATCCATAATGCACTTTCGCAACTGCGAGATGTGGAAAGTGTTGTGGACCCGACTAAGCTCCTCCGATAGCTCTAGCCTGTATGCCTCCTTGCCAACCCTGGCAATGATCTTGAATGACCCAATATAACGGGGACCCAATTTCCCCCTCTTCCTGAAGCGGATCACACCCTTCCAGGGTGAGACGTTCAGGAGTACCATATCGCCCACTTGTAACTCTAACTCAGATCGATGTCTGTCAGCGTAACTCTTCTGCCGACTCTGAGAGGTCTGCAATCACTGCCTAATCAGCTGAATCTTCTCGGTAGTCTGCAAGACTTCATCCATCCATCCCATCACACTGTGTCCGACCTCACCTCAACAAATTGGGGTGCAACATCTCTGCCCATACAACAGCTCAAAAGGCGGGGCACCAATGCTGGAATGATAGTTGTTGTTGTAGGCGAACTCCGCAAGGGGTAGGTGGGAATCCCAGCTCCCCTTGAAGTCAATGGCACACGCCCTCAACATATCCTCGAGGGTCTAAATGCTCCGCTCACTCTGTCTGTCAGTCTGCGGATGAAATGTTGTGCTAAAGTGCAAACACATGCCCAGTTCCTCGTGGAACTTCTGCCACAAACTAGAAATAAATTTAACATCTCGGTCGGAAACAATGGAGATCGAAACCCCATGGTGAGCGACGATCTCGCGAACATACACATCGGCTAACCTCTCGGCCGAATAACTTTCCCGAATACACAAGAAATGAGCACTCATGGTGAATCGATCTATCATGACCCATATAACATCAAACCTCTTTGCCGTCCTCGATAGTTTGGTAATGAAATCCATCGTGATCTACTCCTATTTTCAGATAGGAATCTCCAGGGGCTGCAGAATACCATGCGCCCTTTGATGCTCGACCTTGACCATCCTACAGGGCAAGCATCTCTCGACATAACAAGCGATCTCTCGCTTCATACATGGCCACCTATAACTCAAACTCAGGTCTTCGTACATCTTGGTGGCCGCTGAATGAGTAGAGAAATGAGACTTATGAGCCTCCTCTATGACTGTCTGTCTGACTCCAGCAGACATCAGAACCCATACTCGACTGCATAGGGTAAATAATCCCCGACTATCCTACACAAACCGGGTGTTGTCACCCTTGATCCTCTCCAACTTCCAGTTCTACGGTTGCATGCCCTCAACCTGAGCATCTCTAATCAAACTCACAAGCAGAGAATCCACCACTATGCTTATACATGTCACTGGGGTGGAAGACCCAGCTAAATTGCGGCTCAAAACGTCCGCCACCACATTTGCTTTACTAGGGTGGTAAAGGATCTCATAATTGTAGTCCTTGACTACATCCAGCCACCGGCACTGCCTCATGTTCAGGTTCGGCTGATCCATGATGTATCTCAAACTCTTTTGATCTATGTATATGGTACAACGGACCCCATATAGGTAATGTCTCCATATCTTGAGACCGAACACTACCGCTCCCAGCTCCAAATCATGTGTAAGGTATCTTGTCTCATGCGGCTTCAACTGGTGCGATGCGTAGGCTATCACTCATCCTCTCTGCATGAGGACCGGCTCCAACCCTGTGATGGATGCATCACAGAACACCACAAAATCCTCAACTCCCTCCAGGAGTGTCAAAACTGGAGCCTCACATAATCACTGACGGAGGGTCTCAAATGTGCTCTGTTGCTCAGGGCCCCACCAGAAATCTGCCCCCTTCCTCGTTAGATGAGTGAGGGGGTATTGCAATCATGGAGAAATCCCTAATAAATCTCTGGTAGTACCCTGGTAATCCCAGAAAACTCCTGATATCTTAGGAAGATTTCGGCACCTCCCACTGCATGACAGCCTTAATTTTGGCTGGGTCAACCAAAATCTCATCCTGGTTAACGAGATGCCCGAGGAACTGGACCTCTCGTAACCAAAACTCACACTTTGAGAACTTAGCATACAACCGTTCTTGTCTCAGAACTCCTAAAAATTCCATGAGGTGCTCCTCGTGCTGCTCTCGGGTCTTGGAATATTGGAATATACCAACATATCATCAATAAACACAATGACCAAACGATCAACCATAGTGTGGCGTATTGGTGAGCCTAAATGGCATCACCACGATCTCGTAATGATTATAACGAGTCCGAAATTCGGTCTTCTCCACGTCCTCCTCTCTGACCC